TGATCTCTCGTCCAACACACATCTTTTAATACTTTTACCCATAGACATAGTAAAAATAGTCTGAGCGTCCCATTGAATAAGCTGAAGCTTGTGAAGAGAGAGAGAGAAAAGATTTAAGAAGACTTTCTTTGTCTTACACCATCGTAAAAGAAAAGAATCGTGCCTGCTCAGTACTACACAGGCGTGATTCTCCCTTCTCATTGTGTTTATCACAGTAATATTACAGTAATATTTCCCATATATATTTTATTGTAATATTAAATTGAAAATGTAATTTTCAATGTAATATTACTGTGATATTACTGTAATTTTACGTGCTTTGTGAACTGTATTAGCCGTTTTCTATATGTTGTTGAGTTTTATTGAGAGTCCTACTTCAACTTTAATCTTAGTAATTAAAATTTAAGTAACAACGATTTTCGCTTCGAAATACTTTCCCCGATTGAACAGAATTAATCGTCAATTTAATCGATACCAATAAGTTCGCAGCATGATAAGCAAAACTTAGTAACAGTTACGGAACAAAGTAATCTGAAATATTCGGTATAGAATTTTCTATTTCGTATACGGGACAACGAACCCTCGACGTTTGTTGTTTTTCTTCCTGCGCGGTATCGTGCGACGTACGCGGGCCTTTGTTTGCGCGAAGGTCGCCGCGGTATCACTCGCTCGCCGAACGTCGAGCCGGCAGGCAGCGGTGAGAGTCGCGCTCCGTGCATCGTATTACTTTCGCGTTATCGGTTTCCAAGATCGCGATGAATGTGGAGATAAAACGCTATTGATTTGTACACGTTTATTAGTAATAAGTAACCGACTGATTAAGTTTCTCTAACTTGTAATGAAAAATGATTTGCACGTTCAAGCGACGGCTTTTATCAACGTAGATTTCACGAGACTAACTCGTCTAAAATATGAATAAACCTGGTACTTTGTCGCGATTACATCTCGTTCACGTAACGCGCTTTTAATTATCTGTCGATTTCGCGTAAACTGTTTCATTTTCGGGAAAAGAGAGCTTTGGTGTTTGATCTGTAATTTCGCTCTGTCGTTCTTCGCAACTCGAACGGACAGGGAGTACAGAAAATTGTTTATTGCGCGTCATTACATTATGTAAATGAAATCGAATATCTCGATTAACGGTTGAAATTAATAACAAGTATTTATCGCTGGAGGTTTTGCTCACATAATTCATGTCGAGAATTAGATTGAATGATAAAGATAGTAAAATATCATTTCTTTGTGGATTGTAACTACATTTTTACCACAGATTATGCTTGGATTCCAATGCTCGCGTTGCGTTTTATCTCCAATTTAAAAGCGATTTATTCATTATTCTACTTCTTTCATCAAAACTGCAAGATATTAGTTCAATTAATTTCGATATTTGTTAATAGTATTTCGTGCGTTTCGCGGTATTTCACGTCGCGTAAGGGAGTGCTCGAAATTTCGCGCGATCGATGATTTTCGCGAGTGAGTGTTGCGTTAGTGCAACGAGAGTGAGTGGAACGTGGTCGAATTGGTGAGACGCCTAGATGGAAGTCCAGGTTCAAACCCTGGCTGAGGTAATATTTTTCGCAATAAATTTTCTATAATTACAAATCGTTTATCGTTTTGAACGTGCGAATTTGCTGACGATAATAACTTCACCCGTAAAAAAAACGTGCGTTATGTCCGAAAAGAAACCGGCGCGCAGGACAAAGGTGGAAATAAACGGTACATGAATTCACATTTTAACAAATTACAAGAGTATAAGGCTACCTACATCTTGCCTTAGATTAGCCGTTTTCTATATGTTGTTTAAATTTTCTGTGCTATTAAAAATACCAGATACGGTCAAGAAAACACTGAAGTTGAAAATTGTATTCAGCTATGAATGTTATAAGAATGAGGAAAGTGTTGACGGTTATTGTAGTTGCCAGTGCCAATACCAAATAGAACGGTGTGAATCACGAATTTTATTTCGAGAGTCAAAGCGGTACTAAAATAGACGCCATCTATTTCACGACGAAAGAAGGCGTATCGTCTATTTAAAGGGCTGGACTTGGACTGGGGGTCTTGCATCTCTCTTTCTCTTTCCGTTCTGTCCGACTATGTGTAAATAATTATAGACACTCTCAAGAGATGCAACTTGGCTTTTGCCTCTTGATTCTTATAGACTTTAATATATAAATTTAATACAATAATATTATAATTGTTATTATCACATATATAGAGAAATGCATTAAGAAAGATTTAATTGAATGAATTTACACGCGCGAATAATTTATATAGGTATGCGATTGCACGTACGAATACTTATTAGTTTCAACTATGCAAGAAGATGTAATACATCTCTTTCACCTCCGTTTCTCTCTTTTCTCTCTCTTGATTTCCTGTATACATGTACACATGTGTACACTCTCTCGTTCCCTCGCTCTCTCCCCCTCTCGTTCACGGTATTACGTAAAGTTTCTTGAGAGGCACGTGGGCCGCGTCGGTTCGGACGTCATGCCAGGGTTT